ATACTAGGGGTGGAAGCAGGTTTTCCCACCAAGTTCTCTCCCAGCAACCTGGTGTGGTCAATGGGAAGATGACAGATGTGGCTACAGTCAGGAGGCAGACACAGAACCTGTCTGACTCAGGGAACCAACAAGTGCAGCGGGGACAGGAGAAGCCTCCTGCCTCCTTAGCCCAGTGCAGGGTCAGGCAACGAGCACCAACACCAGTTGGCTTGATACATTTGATAAGTGTATCAAGAATAAAATAATACAAAAAGACCCATGTAAAATCCCCCAAGTGCAAAATGACTCCAAAGAGATAACTAAAAATGGTAAAGAGCTAACCAAATTAATGCCTCATACCCATGCTAGGGTACCTAACAAGGATCTAAGAAGAAAACAGTTAATACGAATGGACAAAACCTTTCCATGCTATGTGAGACCTTGTCTATGATTGATTTAATATATAATGTTAACGTTCCTTCGAGTGTTTTACAGATGTGAAACCCATTTGAAAGATACCTGAAGAAGCAAAGGTCAGCCAGCTGTAACTGTAAGATTCTTGGGAGTTTTATGGTTGGGTAAGATAAAGACAGAGATTTCCAAACTATACAACTGTTAAGAAAATCTACAGCACCAGGGGTGGGTTGCCCCCTATGAGCTGTTGGTCAGCAAGAGATTCCAGAGGTCCTCCAATTCACCAAAGCTATTGCCATTAATGTCAGTTGTACACTAGAAAGGTCAATAAGGCCATGTTGCTGAAGACACTGCATGTTGTGAGCATGGGAAAAGAAGAAGAGATGGAACTGAGACTAAGCCAAAATAATCCATGCAACTGGATGGAGGATGGTCATATTGCCAGGAGGCTCTATATACAGATGGTTGAGGAAGAAAGGATCCCCTATAATTCTATTCAATGATGGACCCCGCGTGCTGCACACCACGGACATGCCAAGCAATACCTGCAAGTACAATAATGGCTTGATCAACACACATACAACTGACAAATTTCTAATTGGATAAGGCCAGCTCCTAGGGGTGGAACACACATCTGGTGCTGTAGACCAGGCCTTGTGTCAAGACAGGCTACAGGCCCTAGTGGAGAAGCCATCATGAGTATAGTACACCTACTGGGATATCTTCTAGGCATTTGTATTTACATTCATGTTTGTTTAAATGTGTCTACTTCCATTTGTCATTATAGTAGAAGAAACACCACTGAGATAGAACAGTAACCAAGGCCTAAAGACGACTAATGGGGAGGTCCAAGAAGCCACTATCTTGCCATGATGCAAAAGAGATCACCCTACATCTATCACCCCCTCCAAGGCTCAGGGACTTTAGTGGAAGATGGACAGGAAGATTGTAAGAGTGGAGGAAAGGAGTGTCTCCCGATTGGCTGGTTCCTCCAATGGGCAGGGCCTGACATGGAGCATGGACTATGAAGGGGCTGCTGGGAGCCATCTTGGGACAGAAGCCAGGAGTTGCGGTAGCATGCATGGTGTGGGGAACACACAGTCAGGTGCAGCAGCTCAAAGACAGAATGGACTGACTCCTGTGGACTCAGGGCGAGATCACTGGCCCATGAGGCGTGTGTGAATGCTAGCAGGGACTATGGTAGCTAGGGCGCAGTCTGATGTGACGGGCTCTGAACTGTGCCACCGGAGGCATGGGGCTAGGCACTGGGTTCTCATTCCTTTGTAAGTTAATAAACTCACATAAAATATATTATATGGTTTGTCTGATTGCACAGGAGACCCAGGGAATTCGGGCCATACCATGCTATGGTACCTAACAGAGATCTATGGAGAAAGCAATTAATACAAATAGATAAAACCTTTCCATACCGTGTTAGACCTTGTCTATGATTGATTTAATATATGATGTTAACCTTTGAGTGTTTTACAGATATGACACCCATTTGACAGATACCTGAAGAAACAAAGGCCAGCTATAGCTGTAAGATTCCTGAGAGTTTTATGATTGGGCAAGATAAAAAACAGAGACTCCCAAAACTATTAAACTGTGAAGAAAAACTACAGTACCAGGGGTGGGTTACTCCTCTATGAGCTGTTGGTCAGAGAGAGATCCTAGAGGTTCTCAAATTCACCAAGGCTATTGCCACTAACATTGGTTATACACTAGAAAGATCAGTAAGGCCATGTTGCTGAAGACACTGCATGATATGAGTGCATGAGAAGAGGAGATGGAGCTGAGACTAAGCCAAAAACTCCATGCCACTGTATGGATGGCTTTCATAGTGCCAAAAGGCACTATGCAGATGGTTGGGGAAGAAAGGATCCCCTATGATTCTACTCAACAATGGACCCTGCATGCTGTACACTATGGACATGCCAAGCAATGCCTGCTAGTACAATAACAGTTCAATTAACATATATACAACTGACAGATTTCTAATTGGATAAGGCCCACTCCTAAGAGTGAAACACACATCTAGCACTGTAGACCAGGCAAACCCCTTGTGTCAGGGAAGGCTACAGGCCCCAGCGGGGAAACAGATGCAAGTATACTGTTTAATGAATATGGCACACCTACTAGGATATCTTCTAGACATTCGTGTTTACATTCATGTTTGTTTAGATGTGTCTACTTCCTTCCATTGTCTTAATAATAGGGGAAACACCACTGAGATAGATCAGCTGCCATGTCCTGAAGATGAATGATGGGGAGCCCCAAGAGATCACTATCTCACCATGATACAAGAGAGATCACCCTCCGTCTGTCACTCTCTCCAAGGCTCAGGGAAATTCGCTGAAGAAATGGCAGAAAGTTTGTAAGAGCCAGAAGAAACGGGTGGAGTGTATCCTGGAAACCACTCATTCCTCCAAAAAGTGTGAGCAACAGGCGAGAGCAGGGCAACCTGGGAAGAGGGTGGAGCCTAGCTGCTGGCAGAACTAGCTGCAGCGAGATTGGAAGAGAGAGAGAGCCAAGCATGTGCTCGTCTGGAGCTGGAACCAGGAAGTATGCAGCTGCTGGGGTGAATGGTGGAGGCATCTTGCGGGGTGTGGAAGTGAGATGAGGCACTTAAGACCATGGGTGCAGCAAGCAAAAACCAACAGAGACTGTGGGTGGACTTGAAAGACAGGTGAATTATGAAAAGCCATCTTTTTGTAAGTCAGTCCCTCCCTGTCATATAAATCCATGAAAAACCTAAGATAAAAATGTGTTCTGCCAGTTTGTTGACCCACATCAGGCCCATGAGACCCTGAGAGAGTGAGGGTAGGTCAAACAGGGAGCAGGAAGGGGCAATTTAGTGCAACAGTGGGTGCTGGAGATACAAATTCAAGTCCTCATGCTTTACAACAAGCACTTTACACACTGAACCATCTCCCAGACCCGTCCTTTCTACTTTTTTGTGTGTGATTGAACATTTTCATAATGAAATCTAAAACTAGCAAGTGCTTATTTTTGTATTAAGCTTTACATGTTATTTCATCATGTTCTCCGAACAGCCCTCTAAGACAGATCCATTATTGACACTTAAAATATTTTTAATCTATTTTTTTTTGGTCTTTTTGAGACAGGGTCTCCCTGTAGCCCCAGCTGTCCTGGAACTCACTATATAGACCAGGCTGGCCTCGAACTCACAAAGATCCACCTGCCTCTGCCTCCCGAGTTCTGGGATTAAAGGTGTGTGCCACCACACCCAGCTCTATTTTTTAAATATGTGCATGTGCATGTTTGTGCTTGTCTGTAAGTGCACTGTGTGTGTGTGTTTGTCTGAATATGCACCATGTGCATGCAGGTACCCTTGGAGTCCAAAAGAGGATGTCAGATCCCCTGGAACTGGAATTACAGGCAATTGTGAGCTGCCTGATATGGGTTCTGGGAACTGAATCAGGGTCCTCTTCAAGATCTCTTAACCACTGAGCCATCTCTCCAGGCTCATTACTGACATTTTTAAAGAGGAGGAAACAGGGCTCAAAGAAGTGGGCTCAGTGTGGTGACATGATGTCACTGACTCCCCACTCATCCCAGGCTCTGCCTTGGCCCACACCTCCTGTGATACTTTGCGAGGCTTCTCTGGGTGCTCTGGCTCCTGGTATGTGGTGGGAGGGGAAGTACACCTTGGCAGCAGGTACCACACAGGACTCAGCCTGCACCAGAAGAGGCTGTGCTTCTTCCCTGTCCCTCCTGGACTTGAACCAGGCCCTTTGCCTAGAAGGGAAGTTAGAAAGGAAAAGTCTGTTTGTGAGGGCTTTTAGGATGAAACTGTGGACAAAATTATGAGTAGAGGAAATGAATTGAGTAATGGACTGACTAGTTGACTTAAGGTTTCTTAAGGAAAGGTGGGGACAGTCACACTCAACTTTCTGTTTTCAATAACACCTAATACTGGGACATGTGACGCTAGACTTGAGGCACTGTGCTCACTTGAAAGCAGGAGGATCATGTGAGTTTGAGGTCAGTGCATGAGATGGAAGAGAAGAGGAAGAGAGAAGAAGAGAGGAGGAAGAGATGAAAGGAGGAGAAGGGAAGAGGTAAGAGCTCAGAAGAAGGGAGGAGAGAGGAGGGCAGGAGAAAGAAAGCCAGAATTCAGGAATAAACAGGCTCCCAGGTCTTAGGTAAGAGAATTAGAAAGAAAGCAGAAGAGAACAGGCAAAGAACATGGTGTGACAGCATAGACATGCAAGGGCCGGTGCCCCAAAACTAAGGAGAATAGAAGGGTCAGCTCATTCCCAACCCTCCCCCGCAAAAGAAAGCACAGTCCCCTACCCATGTCTTATACCTCAACTTGGATATAGGCCAGCATGACAAGAGAACACTTTTTTTTTCACTTGTCTTGGTAATTTGCCTGGGCTGGCCTAGAATTCACTCTGTAGCCCAGGAAGGCCTTGAACTTGCAATCTTCTTGGCCTCTTGAGTAAGTATCCAGGACATCAGGTGTGCACCACTGGGCCAGTCTGACAGAACACTTCTGAGGAACACCAGACCCAGTCTCCTTCAGGAACAGGTATCCAGCACCTAGACTCAGCCCTGCTAAACAAAAATGCACTGGGAAAAGATTTTAAAATTTCTCCTTTATTAAAATTTTTTTCTGGGTTTAAAAAACTTCTCCAATACATAAAACTTTTCCCACCACTTAGCCCTTCTTTTTGCCTCCTTCACTCCTACTCCTGGCAGTCCACCTGCAAGAGCCAGGTGAAGAAACCTTGCAACAATTGAACTCTTGGAGCTGGAATTGTGGAAGGCAAGGAAGAAGGTGGTTACTGGTCAAAAGGAGAAGTTAATTTGCACAAAAATACCAACTGTGGAGGATGAGACCAGCACATACACGTATGGATTGATCTACAATCCATATAAAAAAAAATAGACCCAAAATGTCATTTTACCTTTGTAATATTATACAAAATAATATATATTTTAAAACAACACATGCATACCTGCACACTCACACAGACACACACATAAACACACATGAGGTGCTAGTGGCCCCTCTGCTTTTGTTGTTGTTGTTGTTGTTGTCTGCTTTTTTGGTTTTTTTTTCAGAGTCAATGGTGTCAGTAGGCAAAAATGACATGGTAAGTGACCTGGTGGCCATTGTCCCAGGCATACAGGAGGCGGTCCTTGGGGTTGTAGTCTATCTGGGTGGTATAGGAATACTCATTCTCAAACAGCAATCTGGGGACAATCTGTGTGTTGGTGTGGGTGTCAAAGGCATAGGAGATGTTGGCATTCCTCTGGTTATAGCTGTCCACAGCATACAGCACCCCGCAGATGACGAAGCAGTTACCATAGAAATTCCGCCGGAGCCCTGTGCGCCACGTGGTCTCCTTCTGTGTGCTCAGGTCCATGGCATTTAGCTTGCTCAGGATGATGACCTCCTGGCTGAAGCTCTCATCATCCAGAGCTGGGTAGATGAGCCATAGGCCATTCTCATCCACAGCAAAGTCCACATCCGAGTGGCCCTGCCACCTCCATGGTGTAGCCTCCTCATAGGCCACATCGTGTAGCATGGCCCAGGCAGCCACATAGCGCTGCTTCAGGTCATACTTGATGATGTTACGGGTGAAGGCCCGGTTGTAATAGAAAGCTCCGTTGTACACCACATGGCCCGTGCCAATCCAGCTGTACGGGAGCTTGTACGAATTGCTCCAACGACCTGTGGATGGCAAGAAGGTGGTATGCTTCAGGGCGGTGATGCCTGTGATGGGACTAAGGGTTTGCACACTGGGTGTGCACTTGGCTTGGCCACTGTCTAATGCTTAGTATCCTTGTCTGTCACACAGCAGCAATTTCCACTGGCCTCACTGAGTATTTCAAGGGTCTAACACTCATCTATCTGTGATTTGTAAAGTATCGAAGGTCATGGAGAAGAGAGGATGTTTAACTCTATCTTCTGGCCTAACTCAAGGTTATCCATGTCCCAGGAGTTGGGAGGGAGGAGCAGAGAGTGGGAAAGAGTGAAAGGGGGATGGACCACCCTTCCAGGAAGGATGTACAAAGGAAGACATCATAATTCCAGTGTACCATCACCATGCAAAGAGACCTAGCCATAATCACGAGAGGGGGCCAAGGGACAGGGGAAGAAGCTGCCACATGGAGCTGAAAGATGTACCTTGTTTGAAGTTCTCCAGGTTCCGGAACTCTACCAGGGTGTTTCCATAGTAATAGTTGGTTACATAAATGCGGTCATCCTTGGCTAGAGGGTCCTTCATCCAGGCCCCTTCATTCCTCCCATATGTGTTCTGGGTGGTCGGCCCCGTGATTGTGGAGAGGGTGTCCTTGCACCTTCCTGGAGAAGAGATGCATGGAAGGGTTTGGGTGACCTAATGATACCTGACCTTTAAGCTTCTGCGGGCCCCTCCACCTGACTTGAACTCTCAGAAGCCTATAGCAGCGCTATGCCCCCAACCCCATGAAACTGACCCCAGGCATCTTCCAACATCATGTGATAGTACTCCTAGTTTGTATCCCCCTGTCACTCCTACAAAGCCACCCACTGTCCCCATGGTGCACCACTGTCATGCTACCAGTGCTTTGTTCCTGCTATTTTCTGCCTCTTTGATCCTACCCCCTAAAAGGGCAAAGATCCAAAGTCCTTTTCTGTGCTAGACCCTCCCCCTGGAAAGCCATTCTATCCTGTTCTGTGTTACCATGGTACCTCAATTACAGGATATACCGGGGGGAGGGATTAAATTCAGAGCATCATGCATGCTAGGTAAGCACTCTACCACTGAGCTACATCCCTAGGCCCTAGGCCAAGATGCATCTTAACTCCACCATGCCTATGTACCTCTCCTCCCTCCACGTCCATCCCAGCAAGAGTGAAAGCAGCAAGGGAGCAGGGGCTGTGGCTTTTCCTGTGTTCTCAAACTCAGAATACACAGTGCCTGGCATGCCGCAGGCACTGGAAGATGGTCTGACACCTGGACTAGTATATGGAGCATGAGCAGAGAGAACTCTGATAGGTACAGCCAGGAACATGGAGCTCCACCCAAACAGCCTGAGACAACCCTGACTGGGCAGTGGGCATTCATGTCCCCCGAGGCTCAACCACCAGGTCACAGGGAGCTGTTGTCAATCCCACAGTCTGTCTGTTATTCTTGGGAGCAGGCTGTCTGGAATTCCTGCTGGGGAGTTAGAAGTACATGACACCAATTAGCTTACTCTAATTGTGGGGGGCTTCCTTTGAGGTTCAAATCTTCCTTAATGAAATAGGAGCCCAGCAATATCCTTCGAAACGGCTCTTTGGAATGACCTGATACCCAAGAAAGGCTCTCATAGGCCACTAGAACTATACTTGAGTCTAATCTAGACCAAACTGAAAGCCTGAGACGCTTAATATGTAACATTATTGAACATGGCCGTGAATGACACTGAAGTAACATGTTCTTCTGTCCCCAGATGAATGGATAGAAAGAGGACAATGGGAGAACCAGATGCCCCCCCCCCAGATTCCTCAGCCTCTCCTGACCATGGGGACCAACAATGACTATCCCACCTGCCACCAAGATCAGCAGCCCAGATGGGCAACAGTGAGGAGAATGGTTAGTTCTTGACACATAAGACACAAGCAACATAGACCTAGAATTTAGATTTAGGGTTTTCTAAATTCCATGAAACCCCATTTCCAGATTGTTCCAATCTGTTTCATGCATTCTATGCCCCAATGATCTGAGGCCTAGCTGGCAGGATGGGGTAGGGCAGCTGTGCTCCTGGCTCCAGCTCTGGGCCATAGAAGTAAGGGGGCAGAAGTAGGCTGAGCACTATTTTCCAAGCAGCCCCACTGTTGGGTGTGCATGGTAGGCTTTGGGCAATTCCTTGTGGGGTTTAATGGGTCCTACTCTGACAGAGTCTTGACTCTGACTTAGTCTCTATTTGACAAACAACAGAAGCCACCCACCAGTTTTTCATTCCCTCATGACTGAGCTCATCTGAGACAATAAAACAGAAGTCTCCAGCTGAGCCTGGCAGTAGTTGGATGGAAAATATCTCATTTCCTGGCATTAAACAGGACCCTGGCTGCCAGTGGAGAAGCCACACTCCCTGAATCAAGGTGAAGCCTCTCGTGCCATGCCCAGGTAGCCCACTTTTATGTACCTCTTCCCCTGACAAAGTTCTATTGGGACACTAATTCTCTACCAGCCATGCCCAGAAATCCCAGAAATGTCTGTGTTAGGCAAGATGCTCCTGTCCTGGTTGCCCCAGCCATGCCCATCTCTCACCACATGAAGTTGCAGATGGGCTCCAAAAGCCAGGACTAAGTTTTGATTTCCTAGACCCTTAGACGGTCCTGCCTGAGTCCTGAGGCTCTCAGTGGCAGGACCCTGATGCAGGGCTATCAGTGTGCCTGGATTTGGAGCCAACAGTCTAGCCTCCATTTTGGTCCTGCCACTAACTCCAAAGTCTGTGTTGCCTCCATGATGACAGTGAACTCGAACATCCTCAACAGTGAAATACATACAATGCCTGCTCTGCCTACTGCAGATGGTAGGACGGCTGGGGGCTGGCCCCCATGAGGTGATGGTTAGTATTAGCTGTCAACTTGGCAGAATCTGGAATGGCCTGCACCTCTGGGCATGCCTGTGGGGGATTTTCTTGACTGCTCTAATTGAGATAGGAAGACCTGCCTGCTCTAATTGAGATGGGAAGATCTGCCTACTGTAGGTGGCAACATTCCCTGGCTGGGATGCTGGTCTGTATAAATGGAGAAGGTGAATTTAGTAAACACATGTAGTCATCATTGACTGTGGATGTGTTATGCTCAGTTGCTTCAAGCTCCTGCTGTGTTGACTTCCTCCACCTCATAACAGACTGTAACCTTGAACTGTAAGCTGATATAAACCCTTTCTCCCTTAAACTGCCTTTACAAGAGTATTTTATCACAGCAATAGAAAAATAAACTAAAACAGGCCCCTAGAGATATCCATGCCTTGATCCTCAGAACTTATGAATATGACCGTCTAGGGTAAAAGGGACTTTATGGGTGTGATTGAGTCAAGAATCTTGAGATTAGCTTGGATTATCTAGGTGGCTTCTAAATGCTATCACAAGTACCCTTATACCAGTGAGGTAGGAAAATGGGCTACAGAACAAGATGAGGCATTATGATGATGGAATCAAAGACTGGACAGATGTGGCCACAGGCCAAGGAATGCTGGCAGCCAGTAGATCCTGCAAAAACAAGGCATGGGTTCTCCCCTGGAGCCTCTGGAAGCAAACAGCCTTCTAACACTAAGGCTCTAGCCCTGTAAAACTAATATGAGACTTCTAGCCTACAGAACTGTTAGAGAATAAATGTTTATTGTTTTTAGCACATAGGTTTATGGCATTTTGGCAGCATGGGAATGAATACAGATGAGGTCAGCTTCTGGAGCAAGAGGAGCTGTCCCTGCTTCTGTGGGAAGAGGGAGATCCCAGCTTGCAGCTGTACAGTGCTGAAACCTGGGTCCTTGGGACAAATTTCCACATGCCCCAAGGCAAAGCAAACCCCAGAGGATTGGACAAGCCAAGCACAGAGGTGGGTAATATATGTGGTATTTGAAAAGAAGATTCCAGAAGGTCAGCAAAGCACAAGGCCCAGACACATCACCACCTTCAGAGTCAGAGACAGTTCCTATGATGATTGAGATTGTCAGCTTGAAAGGATCTAGAATCACCTAGGAGACAAGCCTGCTGGCAAGTCTGTGGGGGGAATACCTAGATTAGGTTAATTGAGGTGGGATGATCTACCTTAACTAAGGGTGGCACTATTCCATGGGCTGGGCTCCTGGACTGAATGAAAAGGAGAAAAGGAGCTAAGCACCAGTGTTTACCACTCTCTGCTTCCTTACTGTGGATACAATGTGAGCAGATGTCTCAAGCTCTTGATGTCACGACTTCCCCACCATGATGGATGTACCCTCAAACTGTGAGACAAAATAACCCCCTTTTCTTAGGTTTGCTTCTTGTTAGGTATTTTGTCACAGAATTGAGGTAAATAAGTAACACAGTTTTGAAGCGTCCACCCATGACAACAGATCATCAGCCTTAGAGAGAAAACTGTGTACTGAGTCTTCTTCAAGGCAAATGGCAGGAGATGCAGGCAGTTCAAGGAACCTCAGAGAGGAGAGTTCAGTCTATGACTCACCTTAGGTCTCTTCAGAGCAGGGCTACCATGGACAGTAGAGGCAGCCACTAATATTCACCAAGCACTTTATATTCTAAACCACTTGCTCATCAGTCCTTCAAGGCAGATAGCCCCACTACAAAGCTTACCAGGGTCTGAAAGGAGCACCTCCCGCTCAGTGTAAAACCGGTTGCATCTCACATCTTAGAAGAATACAGCAGCAAGCAAGAGCCTCTCTGCCCTCACTGTCAGCTCACCAGCTGGCCCCTCTTCACAGTGCCCCATTCATTCCACAGGGTACTCTCTTTATCCCACTGGGTGCTCCCTTCATCCCAGAAGGTGCTCTCTTTGTCCCACAGGGTGCTCCCTTCACAATGCCTACCATGCTCTGGGCCCCTCACTGACTGCTGTCACAGCCTCTGAGGCATACTCTCATCCTCTATCCAAGCCTCTTCTTGGGTCAGATACTGAGGGCCTTCCTCAGCACCCCCACCCACCTCAGGAGGTAGCTTTCTCTTGGCTTCCACAAGCCACTGTCTCAGTGTCCCTGCCCTCAGATGTAACTCCTTAAAGCTCACTCTCCTCCCCAGTTGTCTCCTCTTCTCTCAGCTCTTACTAAAGATCCCCATCCTAGTCTCTTCCCTAGCATGGGACATCCAATGGCCTACTGGACATTTGCTACTTCCTCAAACATGGTAATTAAGAAGGGTATTCATAGCTAGGCATGGTGGTGCACGCCTTTAGTCCCAGCACTTGGGAGGCAGAGGCAGGTGGATCTCTGTGAGTTCAAGGCCAACCTGATCTACATAGCAAGTTCCAGGCCAGCTGGGGCTACAGGGAGACCCTGGTTTTTTTTTTTTTTGTTGTTGTTGTTGTTGTTGTTTTTTAAAAAAAGGGTATTCATTCACTCCAGTCCACAGCCTGCTGCACCTGTATTTCCTGTCCTAGAGAAAGGCACAACATGATATCCACTAACCAAGCCAGAAGCTTGGGTTATCCTGACATCTCCGCCTCACACACAGTCTGAATTGCATCCATTCTGTGTCTCCTCCACCTCAGAGACTTAGTTTAGACCTTACTGCCTCAGGATTGACTCACACCAATGACATCAGTTAGTCTCGTTAGCTCACCTCTACCCACCACGTGAATCCCCAAATCCCTATCCTAGATTCTCAGCCCCTCTA